TTCAATCTGCAACATTTTTATTTCAATAATATTTACCAAAATTAATTCCATAAGGAAGGAATTCAAATTTGTGACCTCAAATTAGGATTATTTAAAATTTAACCATCATGGCAATGGTTGAATTTTGATAATAAATTTAACAAAATAATATATGCTAGGCCTTTAGGTGATTCAATGACTTTTTTTTTTTTTTTTTTTTGCTTTTGTTGGTTTTTCTTGTTTTAAATATTTATGCTTTAATAATTTATAAGATAGGACTTACAAGTATTGAGTTTTTATTTATTTGCTATTTGAGAGTTTGAGAATATGTTAACTATGAATTGTGATATTAAAAATTAATTTGAGTATTGTGAAATGTGAATATGTGATTTATGATAATTAAAAATGAGAAATTGGGAAATTTGTAATTTTTGATGAATTGGTGCTGAGAATTGAAATTTTAATTATATTTTAAAATTAATTTAAATTGCGTTTAATTTTTTATTAACGTTAAACTCTTGTACTGATTATGGAATTTTTTTTCAGCTGAATCTCAATCTAGTTCTTGTAGTGGTGCATCTATTCCTTCAACTACTTTTAGTTAAGTAAACGATTTGTTAAACATTAATAATACAAAAAAATCTCATGTATCATGTAATTTATATTATTTCGAATTGTATTGAACTATAATATGATATAAATATACGATTTTTAAATTTTAGTGTATTTACATATAGATTGAAGAATTTTTAATATTATTTAATTTAATATTAATAAGTGATGTCGCTATACGATCGTTAACTATTGATGATCAACGATCAATGACCGACCTAGCTGAGTCATAGTTTTGGATTCGTCCCTCATTAATTTCGAGATTTTTTGGAAAAGACCACTGGTACATGAGCCTGTAATACAAGAAATATTTCAGTAGGACGGTTACGTGGTGCAACTGTCCTATAAGAGAGGGTCACCTCGACTGGTGGCCCGCCACATACCTTGAAGGGTGTGGGTCACCTATCGAGGTGGCGCTTCAACATTGGACAATTGTCCTACTGAAGTATTTCTTTAGTAATACAAGGTGATGGGCATGTACGTGTAGCAGGCCCAGGATTTTTTTGCATCCCTATTGAACGAGTTAATTGTTCCAATGGTCAATGAACTTAGGTTCATCTATTTGATTGGTCACTAAAGTTTAAAATGTCGAGTTTTGGTCACTGAGTTTAGGTTCATATCTTCGATTTGCTCATTGGAATTTAAAATATTGAATTTTGATCACTGAAATTTAAAAAATGTTATACATTACTCACTAAATTTTGAAAAATATTGTACATTACTCACTAAATTTTAAAAAATATTGTACATTACTCACTGAACTTTGAAAAATGATGTGTACTATTCATTGTAAATTTGATATTTTTAAAATTCAACAGTTATGTCAGTGAGAAATATACGACATATTTCGAAGTTTAATAATCAAAACTCAATATTTTAAATTTCGGCGAGCAATTTAAGATATGGATCTAAGTTCAGTGAGCAATCGAAGATATTTACCTAAATTTAATGATCAAAACTCAATATTTTAAACTTTAGTGATCAATCAAAGACATGAACCAAAGTTAATTGACCATTGTAGCAATTAACTCCTATTGAGCACCATTAAAAATTTGTAAGAATTGAGAAAATGGAAGAAGAAGAAGAAGAAGTATCTCTATTTTTGTGCCATTTGGCTTAATTTTCATTTCATTGTTCTAAATTCATGGCCTCTCAGTTATTGATTAAAGAATCTACTATCGGACCCAGATTATACTGCAATTTTCGTGAATGAAATTCCATTTTCTCGCTGCTCAGTCAAGAATGAAAACCCGAATTTCAAGCCTTGTTTTTGAAATTTAAAAGGTATGAACGGTGAACCAAATTTCACATTTTAGTATAGATTTCATGAGTTTTCTTCTATGCATTCGTTGTGACAAAAGTTAATTAAATGGAGTATCTGAATATCGAAACGCAAGCCAAGTTTCACCTTCATAGATTTTTGGGAATGCGTTGAAATAATGAATATTTACCCTGAGTCAGCAAAAAATGAAAGCTTTATTCTATTGTAAAATTTTTACAAAATGAACTTTTACTCAAATGCTAATCAAATTCGCGCCAACTGTTCGGAAGTTTGATTCTTATAATATCAATATTTTGAATGCTTATCAACAATGTCGTAATGTGAAGAATGAGATTTCTATTAGAGGTTTACTGATATTGTATTTATGTGAAGAAATGATATTTCATCAATCTTTTCTTTTGATCTGGTTTTTGTTTTTCCTTTTCTTCTTATTTCGTAGAAACCCTTTTTGATAGGTTGATCATCGTGGGACTCTTCTGATAAATTTATGTTGAACGGTTTAATATTTGCTGTCTGAGAATTTTCACTTTACATCCTGCAGATGTTAAGGAGAAACCCTTAGTAGAATAAAGGATACAAAATTGAAAATACACATTAGTTCCAATTCATAGCGTACTCTACGAGTTGAGGTAAGCTAATGGTGGTAAGATCCCAACAGGGAAGCAAGTTAAAGAGAAACCCCAACAATCTTTGGGCCTTAGAAGACTTTCTTCGATTTGGGATTAGTATGGAGAAGCATAAATAATTTTAGTTTCTGAACCCGCAACCAAAGAGAGCAGTAATTAGCAGATTGGTGTTATTCAATGAAATTCTTGACAGTAAGTCCTTTGACTTTCAAATTTAAATTCAAGTGTACTGTAACAATGGAGAAAAGTAAGAAAGTGGGAATTATTCTAGTTTTGATAAAGATGGTTATAGATGGCTGCTATTTTGATCAAGAGCACATTTTTAGTTTTACCCTCATAATTTTCATATTCAGCTGTCGTGTTTATAAACATCTGGTTCTGAATATTCCATGCCATGAACACTAGGAAAAGAAACAAAGCTATCTTTTTTTATTTGATTTGAAATGAATTCTTTTTTCTAAATGCTTGTGTCGTGAGATACAAGTATTTTGTACTCTTCATAATCAGAGTTTGATCATTTTTTTATTTTAATCCAACTCCCATCCTTCACAAAGGAACTTGCAAGTGGAGAATTTGATAAACAAAAATAACAAACTAACCATTGTTCCGTCTAAATTTGGGGGAGTGGAGATGTTGCGTAGATATGTTAATGTAGAATTATGGGGCTATGGTGGTCTGAAGATGACATACTTGTTTCATGGTTGTGGTGGTTTGAAATGAGAAAGTGACATAGGGAAATGAAGAAAGAGAGGTGCCAATGATGGTGTCCTTTGGCCTCGGCGAGAAAGTGGTCACAGAATGGGTGAGATTTTTCTTGGAGAAAGCTCTTTATAATCACTAACAAGGCATTGTTTCTCTGGTCTTTAGTTCGAAGTTCTTATATGTGATAATATACTGTTGATGGTGGTGAAGGAATGAAATGGCTTTAATAATTTTGGTCCAAAACATAGTGGGTAAGGTGCTAACTTAAAATGGATGTGTACTACGTAGTAACTTAATGAAACCTTATTTATGTGCTTACATATGTGCATATCTGGGTATCTTAACTCTAACTAGCTGCTTACACAGTGCTGATGCTTTTGATCATTAAAGTGTTACCCTGAACCTTATAGTTTTGTTGGATAAGATGCTGGGGATTGATGTGATGGCCCGAATCATTGACTATTAGTATCACTAAATAAAATTCAAATTCTTTCATAAGAACAGGAAATAACTTTTTTCTTCAATAAGTAAATAAATTGTGGTTTTATCATGTAACTGCAAAAAATAAATAAAGAAATAATTCCAACATAACAACTAAATTAGAAATTTAAAGTTGTGTTTTAAACACAAAATAATTTATTAATCCTAGCCTGTTGTCATTTCCATGTTGACTATCTTGAACCATTAATTGCCTGAAAGGGGAAAATATCATAGAGTGATATTTATAAAATCTTAATAAGTACGCCATGAATTATTATCATGTATAATTTAAAGGAGCATAATAATCATAATCAACATAATGGAGACAAAAATTTTTCGATCATAGGTGGTAAGCATTCTTATGTGTAGCTCGCTACTAAACTCCGGTATCCTTAACATAATCATAATCATATTGTATCATATGAGACCCATAATGATTTTCGTGAAATTTATAACATAATAATAATCCAAACATGGGTAGCGTACTTAATGTGAAATTTAAAAGAGAGAGTAATAGAGATTGTATAAAATTGCTTGATCTTTCTACAATTTCCACCTTGGCTATGTGCGTCTATATATGTATATTATTTGGATTGAAAAATAATAGTGAGTGGTAGGATGTGAATGTGAATGAGGGGCTTAAATAGGAAAAGAATAGGTACACATCATTAAGGAAAAACTCATGATGGTGGAAATGCTCTTAATTCTAGCATTGAAAATTGTTCCTTGAAATTTGTGAAATGAGCAAGAATCTCTAATTACGTTCTATATACACATGCATTCACGCTACACATTACCCTATGTTTGATCAATCATGAATATGACAAAAAACATAAATCAAGGATTTTCTATATAAGAGTTTGACCAAGCAGTCAACCCTTCTTCAAAGAGTAAAAACGTGTGGGAATTAGCATTTATACTAAGTTTTCTACAATGTTCTAGAAGGTGAATTAACCCTCAAATGAGCCCCTAACTTTTCAATTTTGATAATTGGACCTCGAAATTTGGGTGCGGATATTATAGTTGATTTCTGTATTTTCTTAAGACTTTATGCTGGAATTAAGTTTGCTACTTTCTACTGGAGGCCAAAGCATACTCATGGATTGTGGATGAATAACTTTGACTTGGAAGACTAAGCAACTACTAATCACAACACGATTCTTTCTTCTATCGATGTTTCAGAGTCTTTTTTCTTTCTTTATATTTTGCGCGTATTGATTTAAATTAGATTTTAATCTAAGTCAAAGTCAAACAATGAATATTAACCATATATTTCATGGGTCCCACATCTTTACAACCATACATTTCAAAAACTTTTATCAAAATCTACTAAAAATCAAATTTTAATTCCTACCAAAGAGGAAATTTATATTAGATTTATCAAAGAGTTCATAGAGTAAGAAGAGGAACTAGAATCAAATGCCTTTCTACTTTCTAATTATGTTCTAAGATTTTGAGATATTTTAGTATGCTTCTATGCCACGCTGCTCAAATACTTTTGTTACCATAATGTACCCATGGTCGACAATAAATCCATTACATGTTTTGACTCTTTGGAAATGGAAACAACTCAGTGGCTCATGATACAAGTCCCTAGTGCTAAGATGGAACTACAATTAAATAGCAACAAGATTTGTTTTCTATTGTCACTGTTCAATTATCACGCGTATTATTACTTCAAAATGCGCGCTCTTTTCTTCCCAATTACTTAGAAAACATTAAAGCATTCTTATACTAGCTTGTGCTTATTTGGAATATTATGTTCAATACCAATCCTTGTTTGACTTAATTGCAGGTCTTAAAATTTGATAATTTACTTGCGAACGATACTGATTCATTGTCCATTACCCATACTCAAGTGCAGTTGGCTTCACTGTTTGCTGCACCCTTTACTTTGACAATCTGCATAATTTTTTTATTATTTTTATTATTATTATTTTTCATTTTCCCTTCATTTTATTGGTAACCAATACATTATGTTGCTAAAGAAATAGCTGTTATTGAGTGGAGTAGCTTACTTTTTATTTTTATTTTTTTGCCATCATTATCTGCCTCGAGAATGAGGATGAACTGATTTTGCAAGCATATTGAAAGATTTGAATGACTGGCAGGGCTTATATCAGTACGGGTAATTGAGTATTGTAAATTTGCTAAATATGAAAATTTTACATCATATAAAATATAATTTATAATTGTTACGTCATAAATGTTATTGGTGAAATCTCCAAGTGCTCTTTCACATTATCTGTTACTTTCTATGTTCTAGTAATACTAGTCAGCTTCTTGCTTAACATTCTGTTATGCATGATTTTACATAGTATGAGTTTAACTCAGATGTAATGTTTCATTGGATATTCAATATTTTATGAGCAATTGATTCCAGTGGAAGACGAAAATTGGTATTCTTAGACTTGATTGTCACCAATACAAATACCAATACGAATACCAACAAAACTAAGAACTTAAATGAAGTATTTCACAAGCAAGTATATTTGCTAAGAATAATGGAAAATCATTGATATATAACAGCGAGGAGATTGCGCCTTACTATGTTTTATATCGACTGATGATCTTGGAGGAGAACTCATTTTAGATTGCGTTGGTATGTGTGGAACTGCTGGGAAAATGTGCACTGCTCCTTGCTGCAATTTAATCTCACAGTTCAACTGTGAAACATTATTTTAACTGACATGGAGTGATTGAGTTATGCCTTCCACTATGGAAGTTCTGATAGAAAGTTGGAGAGTGTGGTACATGTCTGAAAGTATGAAGCTTCAGCAGATGGTTGTCATAGGAGGAGGTTAGACTTGTTGGCTATCGATGGGCATGTTAGTGAATGCTACTAATGGATACGAGATCGATGTGTTGGCATAGGAGAATTTTTAAAGGTGTTGTTGACCCCTTTATAGAGGATGTATATTACCCTCTTTTTCCTGTATTTTTTGGATTAAATAATCTGTTACTTCTTATATGGGTTCTTGGACAAACTTTGTGTCTCACATTTTTTTGATCAAATAAAATATGAATAACAGAGTAACAGTGTCTTGTGATCTCGTAACCATTAGTCTTTTTGGCTTTGGATATATTTGAAATTCTGATTTCATCTCCATTTTCTTTCTAGGATGATGGCAATAAACACTTAGCATCTTTTTGATACTCAACATACTCTACAAGTAAGATAACAAGTTATTACCCCCCCATTCTCTTAATTGAAAACTCGGCCCAATCTTTTACTAAAAGGATTGAGCCGAATATAAAGGTTATGTTGCTTTTTAATACATCCTAGGGCCTAGCAAGGAAATAATCGTCTTTAAGTCTTCTCCTCTCCATTATCTTTGAGATTTTTTGGATGATGGTAGAGGAGAGCAGTGGGAGCTTAGGCTTACATAATTGTGCAATTAGGTGTGGTTTTCCTTTATTTTCCTTTTATTAGTCAAGGTTTAAATGGAAAAAACAACTTGTTGAGTTTTGGTTTTGCTGTCTTTCATTTTGTTTGTCATATATTCATAATTTCAAATCAATATCAAGGCCTAAAAAAACTCAATTGGACATGGTCTAATTGATTGGCTTAATGTATAGGTTGTGTGCTCCAATTTAATTTCTGGTTTTATCTTGTCTCTGCCTATTCAAAATTGCAGTATATTGGACTAGTATCATCACGAGCGATTTTCAAAACGCCTTTCCAGGAGTTATTAATTATAGAGAACTCCCTTTCTCAGCACATCCGTCCCATTTAAATCAATGAATATCCTTACAGATCCTTGCTCAGCTTTAACCATGTTTACATTCAAGTTTAAGGCTATCAAAATGCATTTTTCATGTATTATTAATAATAGGGACCTCCCTTTCTTCTCTCATCCGGCCCAATGCAAATGAATATATATACGTACAGATCCTTGCTGAGCTTTAACCATGTTTACATTCAAGTTCAAAGCCTAATTGAACTCTAATTCCTGTCAATTTCTAAGTGATTTTACTGTTGCTACACTTCATACTCTTGATGGGTTGAATTTAACTCCTTGCCGAGTTCTCAATCGTTGCCAATTATAATCAAACATTGTGACCCTCTAACCCTCGTCCCACCACTGAAAATTGATAAATTCAAATTATGAGTCGACAGTACTTTCTAAAAGGAAAGGTGATTTTATTAACAAATAGAGATTGTCAGAGTCGACTAAATAATGTATTTCCCAGACAACATATTGGAGAATCTTAGAACAACAGACCAGTGGTACCAGCGGGGATTAGTGATATTAAAGTTCGCTTGGTTAGCTACTTGTTAAAATTGAGTTTCCTGTTACATGTAGCAAATGTTATTCTGAAGAGAGAACAATTTATTGTTGGACTGCCAATGCTGAGAACCTGAGACTGATCTTTTTGGAGATTTGGAAAGGAATTGATGTAATCTCAAGGACTTAAAAATATAAAAAGAAAACACTGGTGGGCAGGTCCCACTTAAATATTTTGGAAGTTACTAGGTTTTGGATTGAATGAGGTTCATCCCAGTTGACTTTTGACAAAATATATCATGGAGAAAAGCTAATTAAGATATAACACGTGTCTTAGGAAGTCGAACATAGATGCTAACCTATCGACTGAAACCTCTCGAGCCTGTTCCAATGATTAGTCTTGTGCCTTTACTAATTCTTTGATTCCAATTAGTAAGAAGGATCTTGAACTAAGAAATAGACCCTAGAAACTATCTGTTTTACGTCAAGCAACAGGTAGAGTTACCAAAACTAGTATTCAAGTAAGAATTTCTCCTGATTTATGTTAATAAGTCAAGTCAAATACATTTTATATCATCTTGTAGCTTCTGCTTCTCTCTCACTGTCAAAATGATATAATGTTTATTTGTATATTCTTGTGGTAAATTCTTTGATTTACCATGCTTATACAATATGTTATCGAAGCTATTTCCGTTTACACAAGTTAATATTAGTTGAATTATACTATAGCTTCTAATAAATGATTATACCATTTAAGGAATAATCCTGGAACAAAATTTCATGCTAAGAAAGAACTAATTTTACAGCATTGCAAAGTCCAGAACTCAGACAAGCACGATAACTTCCTTTTGAACTATGAGCGTAAAGTATTTCTATTTATTCTTTTTGCATTTTGCCTATTCTAATGCTTATAACTCGTATAAAATTTAATGTCAAACTGGATAATGTGCAACCTTCACGTGGTACGTGTGCAAGCTGAAATAGTTTCCAATGCTTCGTCTTTATGGCATAGTTTTGATAAAGTATGCTATTACCATCTCCAGAATGTTACTGTTTCCGCTTCTAATCCAGGATTGAAGGCTATGAGTTTGATTTTGATTCGTCGCTAGATACAATGTGATTGTCATCGTCCACTATTGTAGGTCAGCTTATTGTCTTTCTCATTTGAGTCTCAAAATCAGTACAGTTAAGTCCTTGTTGAGACAACAATTGTATCCATGCTACACGACTCTTAAAGGAAAGTGAGGATGAGGAGCTATTGCTGGTAATGTAAGAATTCTACGCGGATCTCACTATTCATTTTGCAAATAGAAATGTAGTTTCTCTACTGATTCATGAGCTACTTTTTCGTTGCTTTTAATAGTTTCGATTATTTCTAGTTACGAGTTGTTGCCAACAATAAATTTTCCCGTACAGGGAAATCATGTCTTTCTTGGGGTCCAGGACCAGGTTGTTGAAGATATGATAAAATCAAGATTTGACATCTAATGAATTGAGAACCCTGTGGTAAGAAAACGGCATCTTTTTTTTACCGTTGTACTGTAATTATTAACGAGCAAGCGCTGATAAAGGCTTGTCATTTTCCCTAGTTCGTCAGTTTTGCTAATGATGATCGTTAAATTAAATTTTGTGGTGGAACAGTTGGGGCCATTTATGAAGGCTGCACTCAAATGGCAGAGATTTTTTCAGAATAGTCAAGTGCAATTTACCGCTGAATGGTCCAGCATTGGATCTTATCTCATCAACTTATTTCTAATTTAGGGTAGCAGCAACAGAGCAAAGCGGCCCTTCACAGCACCTGAGGTTAGCATTTTCCAATTCTGTCTTTAGCCCCGTCCCGAAAGCTGAGTACAAAAGTATCCAGAGACAATGATCGGCGTTGGAATTTAGTTTTCTTTTTGGTTTCATTATAAATGTCAAGCGTTTGGTGAAAAGAATGAATCTGTCCCACACGTGAGAGAGCGTGTAGCTTCTTAAACGCGAGTTGATTCAGTAAAGAGACTATTTTTGGAAGGTCTGAAGATTAACAGATTGGGTGCTGTAAGGGGACCATTTTATGTGCATTAGATACAAATGGGTCCAATCTATTTATGAGAGTTTGTAAAGTAAGAATTTTAGATTATTAGATGTTTGTCGCGCAGCGCAATAGCAGAGCGAGATTAAATCTTTATTTGGTTTGGCTAAAAATTAAATTTTTATTAGATTTTCATAAAAGTTGATGAAATGTATAGTTGAAAAATCGAAAAAATTTGTTAATCTTATGAAATGTATAATTGAAAATAAGTTTGAGAAAAATGAATTTAAGAAATAGGATCACACATATTCGAAAGTTAACCGAAGAACTAGTTTTGCCCTAAAGTTGGGGTTTATTAGCTTAGCCCTCGCCCTTGTTGGAGCTTAAACTTGAGAAACTTCACCTTTCTCTTCCTCACCCTACCATTAGAAATTACAGGTAACAAAATGAGGCAACTTGTCTCCATTGACTACTCGAGTATATGGTTTGAATTAACGGACTTGAAATTAAAAATAAATAAAATTATTCATGTTCTCTTGATTTAGAATTCCAATTCAAGCTTTTAACCATTTACAATAATATTTTATGGGATCTATACGTACTTTTATCAAGTTTTTAATCACTTCATCAAAATCTACTGAAAATTTGATTTTTAGTCAAACTACATAAGGACCTATCCATATATTAATTAAGAACGAAAACAAAGAGAGAGAGAGAGAGATGAATTAGAAAATAGAAATTCGCTAAGAGTTAGAAAAAGTAGTATTAAATCAAATCATAATAATTCATAACCATAAGGCACCAGCTTGCTTCAATAGAGGAGTCAACTCTCCTGTAATATGAGAAGCTATGATCCTCTCCAGCCCTCCAAACCACCGGCCTCCGATGAACACCGCCGGAAATTGCATCGAACACTGTTTCCCATCCCCGGCACGAATCCCCTCGAGCTCGATGACAACTTCATTCTCGTCTACCTCATCAACCTCGTACACTGCCGGATTCACGCCTAAAGCTTGTAACAAACGCTTAATTACATGGCTCATGCAGCAACCCTTTTTGCCAAACACAATCACTGCATTATCCTTAACCATGTTCTTCAAATCACTGAAATCGTAAAGTGATGATGCATTTTCTTTGATTCCTTTAACGTTGTTGGGATTGGGATTTAGATTGGGATTCCTTAGGGTTGGTGGCTTTTGTTGGAGTAGCAAGTTTCCGTACAGAATTGGTTCATGCATGGTTTTGCACTTAATTTCTTGAATGATATAATGATGATATGTATCGATTTCTGTGTGTATTATATATATATATATAGATTGGAGGTGAGGTGGCGTGTGGTTGAAGAGAGAGAAAGAGTCCGGCCGTCAACGAAATTACGATTTCCCAACTCTCACGCGGTGCAAATGGTGGGATTAATGTCACCACCGTCCTGTGGGGTGGTCCACAAAAATCTGCCCCCTTCTCGTGTAATAATAATTTCCTATTTTTATAAGCTTTTTTTTTTTTTTTTGGTTTGAGATTTAAGTTATTATTTTTGCCGTAAAAAAAAAAAAAAAAAAAAACTGCTTATACAGTAAAATAAAAGGTACTACTTTTAAAATTAGGGTAAATGCTAACATGCATCATCAACATTTCATAATTGTGACATTCATGTCCCCAACCTATCATTTGTTGTGAATTTATATCCTCAATATTTTATAACTGTTATATTTATGTCCCGAACTAAACATTTATTTGAGGTTTAAATGTTCATGTCAAAAGTGAAGTCCAGATCGCAAAGGGTTTTGTGTCATAAACACCGAAAAATAAACCCTAATTTAGAATTATGAATGAAAATTTGAAGCCATTGTTTAGTTATTTTGAGAAGAAAAAAGTTGGACATTTTTATCATTGTAGTATTGTGTAGATATTTAACGTTCAAATATCGCTTTCTGTTCATTAAGGATATGAGTGTAACAATTTTAAAAGGTCGGGAATATGAATACCATACTTACAAGAACTAAATCAAAATTTTAATTATTTATTCTCAATACCGTTTCTATTGTCGGTACACTCGTTTTATCAAATGAGTAAAAAATGTACATCTTTTTAGCATGAAAAAGAATAAAAGATGTACCTTCAACAAAACGCAAGGTATGTAAATGATTGATTAATATTCTCAGTGTTCTTCTTTTACATTAGTTAGTCAAAAAAGACGTTACTACATGAAATATTATTTATTGTCTATAAAAGGATTAGTTAGTGAAATTCTGAAATGACGAATTCAGACAATAATGTAGTAACTATGTGGACCCCATTGTTAGGTATGATAATCAAATTATTGATTTATTTTGGCACGTTTCTTTCGTAAATGCCCTTGCATACATTATCCTTGACATCACTCGTTTCTTCCATAGTTTCAAGTGTTTTATAAAACAAATAATTTATTTACCATTAGGGTAAGAAGGTAAATCAAGAGGAGAGAATATGTAGGTTGGAAATAATTATGAGGAATTAATTTTTGTTTTTTTCTTATTTTCTCAAATCGTTTCAAACAAAATTACATGACAGGGTCACATCACAAATTTTAACCTAATTTTTTCTTCATCATCGTTTCTATAATTACAAGTTCAATTAATCTACTTGTACAAAGTAGGTTAACAAAGTTTGTTGACAAAATCAATGTGGGCAAGATCTAGGCCGTTAATCTGTTTTGAATTCAAAAACTGTTTTTGAAATGAGTGATAAAGATATTGTCAACTCATACTTTGTCAACCAACTTTGTAGGTATAGCATCACTCTTACAAGTTTTGTGTCATGATACCACGTAAGAATTCATCAATTTGTTTAGTTGTTCTTTATCATTTATTATTATTTTTTTTCAATTCGTTAGATCTTATAATTGCTAAATGCAAATCTTTAAAAGAACCATTCTTTTCTTCTTCAGTCAAAATTCTTGAACTTTGAGAGTCTAATCCTCCATTCGCTAAGGCCCTTTTATGTTACTGAAATCTTTACTCATCCAAATGAACAAGTACATAGACATGAAACCATGTATATAATAATTCGTACTAAGAAAGGTGAGTAGAAATTTAAATTTCATCCTTTAAAGTTTAGAAACTTCAGAAATTTACAACAAATAAAAATTTCAAATAGCACCTCTCTGTGTGTATATTGTAATTAAGCGCATCTTCTTTTAGCTCTTGTTTGGTTCCCATTAATTTCAAAATACATCTCTCTTTTCTATTCAACTACACAATTTTCAATAAAATAATAATACATATAAATTCAAAACTTTTCTTTATTTTTTAATCTCGCATTCTCTATTAAAATACTATCCCAAAATGCATTTTGTTAAGAAAATGGGGCTTAAACTTGTTAATAAGTTCCAAAAACATTTTAATGACCTCTCTGAAATTAGAAATCAAGTTCAATGGCAAAAAGATACAGACCCATTTCTTTGAAATCAAGTTCTCTTCTTTTTTTTCCCCCTTCTTTGAAAAAAATAATTGAGGAAAAATAGTGTGGAAGAGAAGAAAACCTTACCCACATCTTTTAATAATGTGAATGAGAAGAAATGGATAATGTTTTCTATTTCTTTTCTTGTCCAGTCCATATAGCCGTGGATGGATGTATACAACATAAAAGTACACAGTGAAAAGAAATGTTTAGAAGAAACAAAAAAGATGAAATTTAATTGTGGTGTATTTATTAAAATTCAAAATTCTTCTTGTTTTTCAAAATCGAAAAAAAAAAAAAAAAAGTAAGTAAAATCGGGGGCTGAGATGATGCCACCTCAGCCCCTGTTTTTGATCCTGTTACTGAGCTTGACTCAGTAGCAGGGCTGTATGTTAAATTTTCAAGATTTTGTTGGATGTTATGCTTTTGTGACATTTGTCAAACAATTCTTCGTATACATGCATGAATTTGTTATAAAGAAGTCTATGTTGATTGTGTAAGAATTAGCACTCTCATTTTTATTGAATTCCAAACCTTAACAAATACAGTTAAAATGACATGCTTAATTAATAAAATCGACTTATGTCATTGTAAACTAAAAGATGTTTAGAGAACGTAGTTTTCATTAAAACCACGTGCGGTTCTTACATATAAAGCATAAGCACTATCTTCACTTGGTTTGCTTTGCTTAAAACCATTGAATATGAACATCTTGCGTGTCCCATTCTTGTATTCAATCTAATAATTGGGAAAATAAATAATAATAAAAAATAAAAAACAGAAAAAGAAATTGGTTACGTGTTATATTATATTTATGCATTATTAGGCTAAAATGCTATTGAAATAAGCATGCTAATAAAATTGTGACACCTTATCTATTAAAACGAAGAAGAATACATATATTATAATTTTTTTTTTCTTGAAACGATTTACATAGTGATTGGGGTCAGACTAAGCGACGTGGATGACTAGTTCGATTTCCAACAAAACGATCGAGAATTCTCAATAAGTACTCAATTTGTTAAATAAATAATTTTCTATCGACTATTAAGTCGAATAAAAAAGAATGAATTAAAGTGAGATATGCGAAGTATCTGTATTTGAAAGTTGGGGAAAAGTTTGATATCAATTAGAGGTTTAATCGATTACGCAAGCATATATAGCACATGGTTTTTACTTGTTTTCGTCCTATTTAATGAAAACTACTTCCTCTCTTTATATCTTAACTTTATAGTGTGGAATAATATGGGAAGCAAAAGAGGTGGTACAATATAACGAATTAGTCGTAATAAATATTTTTTATTCAATCGATTTTCATAATTGTTTTTATTTTTTTATTTTTTACTAAGCTTATTTGGTACATATTTTTTCAAAAATTATTTTGAACCACACATTCTATAGGATGACAACTTTTTTTTTCATTTTTCAACTACACATTCTTCAAAATAAATTATATTTCATGTTAATTATTTTTTTAAATTTATAAAATGAATTAGTTTACAAGTCTTCATTGGAAAAGAATTTATAAACAATTTAATTTATAGATAGATAGAATTGACGATAAATAAGTGAATAATACTTGTGAATCTATTAAAATTATACTCAATCATCGATATATGATTTATGAATTTTATCAAATGGAGATTGAAATTTTTAAAAAAAAATTATAATTAAAAAGTTCGCATAGCTCACAATTGACTAAGCCCTTTTTGGACAACCATTATTTGAGGAAAATGAAATTTTGAAATGTGTAATTAAAAAGTAAAAAAAAAAATTTTAATTTACGTGCAAAATATTGCACCAAATAACTACGGCCAAGGCGGATTGTACTTTGTGTCAAACATATGCTAAAAATTGTACCAAATAACTACGGTCAACGCGGATTGTACTTTGTGCATTTAACGTGTTAAATGCAGCATTACTAAGCTGGACCGTTAGATGAACACACGCATGATGTCACATTTTATTCAATTAAAAAAGATTTTCCAGAAATTTAAAAAAAATGAGAAAAAAAAAATATATATATATATATATATATATCATATTATTTCACAAGTTTACATATTTATCGATATCATCAAGTTAAAATAACAAATCAAGTCACAGTCAAGATCATTGAAAAAATGCACAAGGCATCTGCAAGGATAATCCAATCTTCATACAGTACCCTGCAATAAAGCATTTATTTTCGAACAAAAACATCATAGAATACTCAGAAAGACAACAAATTGAGACATGCACGGAGTTTGAAGAAGATTTCCAAAAGATTTGCCTTTTTAAGGAACTAGTTTCTGAATCCCATGTACAAGAAACAGAGAGCGCCTTTAACCAGAGTCGAAAATCTAAATAAAGAGTTCATCCATCTTACATTATTGCTTCCTCCCAGGCTCCAAGTTTAAATTTTGAAGGTTCAGCAAGAGATCATCAGAATTTAAGAACACCTTGTTGTTTGAATTTGCGATAGTATGAGAAATTTCCCTAGATGCTTCGATCCTCCTCAATGTGATAAATGCAGGATTGTTGGCAATGGCTTCACCAATGAGCTGAGCACTCTTGGCCTCACCCTGGTAGCCAAAGAGAGAGAAGTTTGTAATTGAGTGCAATAAAAATTTCCAAACTGAAACCAATGGAAATCTATGGTTGAGAACAAAAACTAGAACTGTCTTCTATAATAACAGTCTTTGTTTGACCACGTTGGGCTATCAATGTAACAGCAAGTTCCAAAAAACCCACAAAAAGTGAAATACATACATCTCACTTTTAGTGATGAATTACTATGAAATTACCCTTAACAAGGTAGTGACAAAATGATAGAAAATTAAATTACGAAAAGATCAGAGTTCAAGCATGGATTCTTACCTGTGCTCTAATGATAGCACTTCGTTTATCTTGCTCAGCTTTGTCCACCACAAACTTAGCTCTCTCTGCCTCTTGAGCAGCTACCTGTTTAGCTTCAATTGCAGCAGTAAATTCTCTCCCAAAAGTCAGGCTTGTAATGGACACATCATCCAATGCAATGTTGAAGTTGGCAGCTCTCTGTGTCAGTATTTGCCTTATTTCCCGACTGACAGCCTACATAAAACACAAAAATAATATGAATAGATTATATAACAGCAGATCAATTTACAGCTTGACTACCAGTACATCCAGAATCACCATCAAAACAATTGAATGAACCATTTTTTTATTCGATCTAATGCCATGGACCCACCCTGAAGTGAGATTATAACACCTTTTCATATGCCTTACCAAAAGGTCGTTTTTTCCTCTTACTCAAGCTTACCTCCAAAAGCGTGTGCCCCAACCATCTAACTGGTATTCCGTCTTCCATTTGTACTCTTCCATTTCACAGGAGTAATTATTTTATTTCATGGTTACTCGATTACCAAATATCCACCTCTGAGACAAGCTTCTCAAGTTAATCTTTTTTACACGTCCAACAATACTTGCAAATTTTTGCTCATAGAGATTTTATGATGACTACATCGAACACCAAAATCATAATATCTTCTTCCTATAACCAACACAAACATTGTTTGATTCTATAATGAAGTACAGGAACAATGACTAAAGTTGCTTCTTCATTCAATATTAATATCTTTAATGCTCCAATTCGTGCAGTCATCTCAAAGATTCACTAGAACAAAGTCCATTCGTTGGAACTTATCATTCATTTACCTACTCGGAATAATTTTCAGTAGGAATAATTTTCTAACTGAATGAACATTGGCTGAAACCAGTGGTTTTAACATTACCTTTAACTGTTTATTCTTAATAATCATGACATCAAAAAGGAATATTAATAGTCTAAGAATGGCATAGCAATTTACCTCTCTCTGAGTGATAAGCTGGCTTGCGTTATACTGTGCAACAACAGCTTTCAAAGTTTCATGAATAATTGAAGGCAGAACTCTCTCATTGTAGTTTTCGCCAAGAGTTCGGTATATAGTGGGTAATTGGTCAGGAATTGGACGCGTGAGAACCCGAAGACCAATTTTTACCTGCACAGATAAAGAACAAAACCAAGTATAGAGGCTTTTCATATGCATAAAAACAAGTTCCATTCATCAACAAAAAAGCACTTACATAAACTAATACATAGATCTAAACTGGCAAATCAAATAGATACTAACATCTATTTACCACAATATCTAATATCAAAGTAAATAATTAACACAATGATGATCTCTCATTTGGAAGCTGATACATGCATTTTTTCACAGAACCCTACCCTCGGTCAATGCTAGACGGACTACTGAAACAAGCGAGATACCGCAAAGGCACCCCATGATGCCACGTCACCTCCTTAATGAATTGCAGGAGAGAGACTTCTAATGCTTAGAACTCCAAGTTGCATTTCTACTAGGTGAAGAAAATTGGCCCATCAATAAACCCCTCACAATTGTACAAATGTGAATGAGTGGCTTCACAACTCAAAACGTGATAGAGTGACATCTGATAAGAAAATTATTAACAGTAAATGGATTATATTCAGTCAACTTAAGCATTTGTTTATTCAATAGGACTGCTTATTAGTGGTTATCAAGTAAAAAACAATTAAGTTTCAATTGCAAAATTTCACGTGGAGAAACAAGTATTTCAGATTAAATCATTAATGGCGGGGATATGAGGGGGAGCTCTCTGCTTTTATCATGTCTTGTAGTAAAAGATTCAAATTAGGTGGACAATCTCTTCCCAACAAGAGATTATTTCTATCATCCTTGTGCAATCCAGAAAAAGAAGGGGAAAAAAATAAATAAATAAATACAGTGTGTTATCATATAGGACAGGATGTGTTTCCCATATATTTCAGATAACATTCAAATGAGAAACAAAATTCTTGTATCTTGACCTTGCATAAAGGGGGGTCTCCAAACCTCAAAGCAGATTTGTGTGCACGTGTGTGTTGGAGGAGAAGGGTGGGGGCTTACCATCTGAAGGTCACGACTACCAGAAGTGCTTTCCACTAGATTTGGTCGTGCACGAACATCGTAAATGATTGGCCTCTCAAACCATGGGATCATCAAGTGTGTTCCTTCAGGATAAACCTATACATCCAGCATTAAAATAAATGTAATGAAAAATTTCTTTTCATAAGATGGAATATATAATAAGACTGAAACTCCAGGTTCATAGTAAAAGTGTACATATAGAAAGCTATAGGCCGACTGAACAAATCCATAAGGAGATAGTGAGAATATATGAAAATTTGAGGAACACATACATTAAGAATGTACCACAGAATTGAGGCAACATTTATCCATTACTGGTGACGCATTGTGGAAATGCCAAAGATAAAGTAGACTTATTTTCTTAGCTCCCCCCGTTTGGCCCCTATTAAATTACATTTCATTCTTCTCTCTCCTATTTCGAATCATACAATCTTCCATAAGATAATATTAAACGTAAACCGAAAACTTTTCCTTCTTTTTCAACCACTTATTTTTCAAAAAAATACTATTCCACCCATTTTCATTTCAAGAAATGGAGGCCAAACGGGGGTTTAGTTTCAACATTTACACCAGGACAAAAGAATGCATGACAAAAATCATCCAAATCCTACCCACTTCTCTCATACTAATACAATTTGAAATTCAGAAATCACAAGATATCCTCCTCTACACATTGTTCTTTAATCAACAGGTCGGAAACACTGCAGGATGAATCAAAAGTAATATATAGAAAGAATTGCAAGATTTTGTCAAACTGTGACACACCCAGGAAAATATGTTTTGTAATGGTCATGTCAATTGTCCAGAAAAATATCCCCTCTCCAGATGCAAATAAATCAGAGAAAAGTCGCATATTAATTGCTATGTTCTATGGCATGTATGCTTTTTCCACGTAACATTAAAACATTAGTAAAATGTATTTAAAGAAGGCATTTATTCCACTGTTGGAATTCTCTTGCTGCTTTAAACTCAAGGTGATAAGATGCAGTTATGTGCATTTCAACACAAGATGACAAGCTAGAAGAGAGATTATTAAGCTGAGCTGCATCACATTCTAATATTTTTTACGATTAAATCCATTAAACTACAGAGACTTTAGCAGCATGGGCAGAAAGGGAGGCAGTCTTTCCTGAGAGAGGTGTGGCACATAAACCTTCAGCTGGAGAGCTCACAACATAAACTTTATACAGAAAGCTGTAAATTATACAAATTGAGCTAGAAGCACAATCACCCAAGATTTCGGTCAGCATAATGGTTCACATTTATCAAAAACAGACTACACAAGGAAACTGGACATCTAGCCTTTTATCAACATTAAATTTTACAAGCAAAAGCAGTAACAAGATACCGATTTCTTAGATGACATAACCAGTAAATTGAGCAAGTAGAGCGAAAAATACAACTAGGTGTTGAAACTATGACCTTGTTTGACAACCATTATATGAAAACTCTTTTATCTACATACTCATTTTCAACCACATATTCACACAATAAAATATTCTGCATGTAAACCCAAAACTTTTCCCTACTTTTTAATTATAAATTCTCCGAAAATCACTATTCAAAATATTGCTTTCCCAAATAATGAACATCAAACAGGGGCAAATTCCAAACATTACAAGCATTCAAAGAAGCAATTAAATGTCAAGTCTGCTCTTGGAAATTGGGAGCAAGAAAAGACCTTTTCTTTGATACCAACAATACGGTTGAAAACAACAGCTCGGTGCCCTCCCTCAACATTGTATAGACTGTTGGCAACTCCATACACGCCAATCCCAGCAATGACTCCCAATTTAATTAAAGCAGATGCAGCACCTCCGCCAGGCATCTTGGGAACCTTGATATTGTTCAGATTCATCTTCTGAACTTCTGCACGATAGCAACTTACAGTACTAACCCATCAAATATTATGCTTTACAAAAAAAGGTGATTGTTAAAAAAGAACTTCCGGCCTATTTTAAATAAATCAAATGTAATGTATACAAATGTAAAGGCATGACATGTCAAATTCAGATGAATATTGAGCTAAATATAATTGAAATACTGTTGTGAAAATTACAAGCCCAAAGAGGCCTTGAAACAGGTAATGGAAAAGATGTTTAATCAATTAATCCGAAGATATAAATTTAACAACAAGGGGAACACATTGCCTATTTTAAAGTAATCAAATGCATAGCATACAAATGGCAAAGTCTGAGCTCTTATATTTCTCTAGAAGAAGATAAGTCCTTTACCCCAAAGAGACTTGCCAATATACAATAGCAAAAGGGTCATCTTAATTTTGGAAACAGAGTGTTTAACAAAAAGGAAAACGTGTGAATTAAGGTGTTCATTACAAGGTAAGGCGACATTGTAAAACATTTTTCTCTCAAAGAACCAATTAAAAAAGACTTTAAATAAGTTTTAGTGCAACATAAACGATAAAAATCAAAAGCCAAATCAATTACACTATGACCACAATCTAGTTACGTGCAGGTTAAACTTTTCAAGCATCAAATGACCCAATAACATTTACCAAAAAACACATAATTAAACAGTAACCTTTATTTCTTCTCCAGTATTCTGAAATGCAATGTGAAACTCCACAGCAGATTAATTATCCACGAAACGAGCACCAACCCTTCACCAACACGCACAAAGGATTAGAAGAACAGCTAAGTATTCAAAAGTCAAAACTTTAAAAGGAAAAAAAAACAGTCAAACTCTAATATACTTCCGACCCAAATTTCCTTACATCAAAAATCAAATTCACAAGTAAAATATCATATACAAACTTTAAACATGCATCCAAAACAATCGAGCTGGAGCATATAAACTTACGAACAAATTCATGGGTTCATCTGAGGAGAGAGAGAGAAAAACGAGATCTCAGTACCTTTGATGGAAATAGATATGAGAAATCAAAATTTGGAGAAAGTGAGACTGTGAGAGTGAAAATTAAGGGGTTTTAGAGGCGAGTTTTTTCTATTTGGCTATCACTATATCATTTCTATTGCCCTTAATAAAAGAGGAAATAGAGATCTGAAAAAATAATTATTTGAATAATAACCTTTAAACAATAATTTTTTCAAAAATACCCCTTATAAAGAATTTGCAACCAAAGCCACTACAATGTATAAAAATCATCAATTAGGTTTTCAAAGAAATATAGATCATAAATTTTTAATAAATTTAAATCCAAATATTATACAAAATTTTATTGATCTAAGAAATGCAACAAATAATGAATTAACTTATTTAAAAGATAATAAATTTAAATCCAAATATTATACAAAATTTTATTGATCTAAGAAATGCAACAAATAATGAATTAACTTATTTAAAAGAAGAGCTGAAGAGTTTCTTTACAAAATATTTAGATCCAAAATTAAAATATAAAAACGTTCATATAGATAATAGAGCAATCAAAATAGAAAATGATATACATAAAATAATTCTTAACCTGGAAAGAAGAATTAAAAAATTAGATATAATTATTGAAGAAAAAGTTTTAACAAAAGATATTGAATTTTATAAATTTTATTGTGACATTTTAAAAACTTATGAAGATTTTAATTGGCTCAAAAATCTTAACCCCTCCGCTGCACGTTTCTATGAAATGGTATCAGAGCCATGTTACGAACCAAAAATTATGATAAACATAGTAGATGAAGAAAATATAATTGAAAATTTTTTAAAAAAAGTTGAAAAACATAAAAAACCAAGTTATCCCTACCTACCTAAAAATATTACAAATGAAAGTTTTGAGAATATACACAAAAGATTAGAAAATTTAGAACATAATCTACAAGTAGGAAATGCTCTTTTAGATAAGAACCTTAAAGGAAAAGATATGATTATAATTAATCCACCTCAAGATTTTAGGATAACACAAAAAGATAATAATAAAGGAAAAAAGTATGAAGAAAATCAATATATGATTACAGATGTAGAAGAATTAGAACAAAAATTCTTAGAATCTACTGGTGAAAAGTATGATAAATATAAAAAACAGTTAGAAAAATTAACTGAAAAATGGAAAATACGAAGATGAATACCAATCCATCATCAAGTCGAAATATAAAAACTCTTAGAATTTATGAAAAATTCCAAGATGATAGTGATATAGAACCAATTGAATATTTTGGAGATCTAAGTAGTGAATGCAGTAGTATTTATGAATTAGATACATCCTCATCTGAGGAAGAATTTGAGGAAAGAGTATATATGAATCAAGTGATGCAACAATCAGAAATAGAAATAGAAACAACTGAAAAAAGTTGAAGACTCTAAGATAAGTAAACTCAAGAATTTAAGTATTGTTAAACCATCAAGTTCACAATATTCCATCAAAACTAGATATGTAAATCAAGAAGGATATAAGAAGAATCTTCTTGTCCTCATAGATACTGGAGCAGATAAAAATCTTGTAAATGCTAAATTTGTTAGTCATTTAATAGACTTTGAAATACCATAATCATATATATTTAAGGATTATTTAGGAAATAATCTTGAAATAAGAAAATATGTAAAGTTCCTTCTCATACATATAGGGGAAGATCAGAAAGAATATACTAAAAAAATAATTTTATATAAAGATGAATTATATGGAGTTGGTCGTTCACCTATCCTACTAGGAATGAACTTTCTTGAAAAATATAGTCTTTATAAAATCTGCCAAGGATATTTAAAAATAATAGTTGATAATAATCCAATCATCATATCAAGAATAGATGAAAATATGAAATCACTGTCATCATGGAAAGAGTAATAAGTACTAATCCCATGAGTCCATCTATTGAAATTACACTCAATATAAAAAGTTATTGCAGAATTAAGTTTCTTGCTTACTTAGATACAGGAAGTACAATAAGTTTATACTTATCAAATGTACTACCATCGGAACACTAGAAATACAATTCAAAGAAGATAGTCACCGCTACAACAGCAGGTGGAAATAAAGTAATATACAACAAATATGCTACGCAAGTACGTTTTCTAATTTTCTTTGGAGAAGTATTTGTTGATACAATATATATGTCAACCACAATAGGATGTGATATTTTATTAGGACAAAATCTTCAATTAAAATATGCATCATTTACACAATATATTGATAAATATATGTTCACAATACCCTGTGCACACAAAATATTTACACCAAAAATAAATAAGGCTGTTACAATAGCATATAGAGACATAAACCATCAGAGTTCCTCAACCCAGCGTGGTGGATGTTGGAGTACAGAAAAATTTAAACCAATTACAGTTTTAAAAATGACAACAGAAAATATGTTAGAAAAATTGAAAAAAGAAATTTCTAAAATATATTCTGAAAATTCATTAGAAAAATGGAATACAGACAAAGTAAAGGCAAAAATAGAATTAACCAATCCAGACACTATTGTTAGAGTCAAACCCATGAAATATAGTGTAGATGACGAAAAGAAATTTAAAAACCAGATAAAAGGATTGCTAGAAGCCAAATTAATTAGGCATATTAAAAGTCCACATAGCAGCCCAACCTTTATGGTTAGAAAATATAGTGAGATAAAAAGAGGAAAAGTCAGAATGGTGATAAATTATAAAAAATTAAATGAAGTTACCAAATTTGATGGATACTACTTGTCAAATAAGGACACCCTTATTAAACAAGTACAAAACAAAAAGATATTTTCAAAATTTGATTATAAGTCAGGTTTTTGGCAAATCATGTTTACAGAAGTAAGTAAACCATTAACTGCATTTAGTACCCCCAATCCTTTAGGACAATACGAATAGAATGTAATGTCATTCGGGTTGAAAATGCACCACAGATATTCCAAAAAAGAATGGATGAGGTAATCAAACCAATTACTCATTTTTGTATTGCATATGTAGATGATTTACTTATTCATTCAAATAACATTGATGAACATATTGAACATCTTGAGAAATTTTGTTATATTATGAAAAAATATGGTATTACACTTTCTCAAAAGAAAGCTAAAATAGCTAAAACAGAAATATAATTTTTAGGATTATTTTTAAAAGAAGGAGAATTGCAATTGCAATCTCATATTGGAAAAAAACTTCAAGAATTTCCTGAAAAAATCAAAGATAAAAAACAATTACAAAGTTTCCTTAGTATATTGAATTATGTTGAAGGATTCATTGAAAATTGTGCCAAACTAAAAAAATTATTTTCTTCCAAAGTTAAGAAAAAAATATAATGTGGTTTTGGGAAGAACAAGATTGTGAAAATATAAGGAAGGTAAAAGAAGAATTAAAAGTATTGTCCAAACTTATAATTCCACAAGAAGAATATTTCTTTATCCTTGAAACTAATGCTTCAGATAATTACTGGGGAGCAGTATTAAAGGTTAAAAAGAATCATAAAGAATATAAATATGAAAAGAATTATTTTTGTCTTGAGATATTTGCAGACTATACACCAGGAACATTCAAAGAAATTGAAACAAGATATGAGACGAACAAGAAAGAACTCATTGCTGTAAAAAGGGGAGTTCAAAAATATGAAGATTATTTATTACCAAAGAAGTTCTTGATTAGAACTGATAATACTCAAGTTAAAGCCTTTTTAAAAAATAATGTTGATCCATCTATTACTAATAGATATATTATTAAGATACAAATTTGGTTTTCATAATTCAAATTTGATATTGAATACATAAAAGGTAAAACTAACTTTCTTCCTGATTATCTTAGCAGGGATGGAGTTAGAACAACTAAGGACAAAAGTTCAAATACTTGAGATAAAAGTTTCCTATTTGGAAACACAAATTCAAAATATCCAAGATAGCCTTCGAGGCAAAAATATAACCCTTGAGGTAGAAGTAACTTGTACCATGTCTAGTATCCCTTCACATGGACTTGTGAATACTAGAGCTCTTCCCGAGGATAAAGGGAAAGAGAAGAAGGTAATAGGAACCCCTTCACAGGGAATACTTAAGCCTATTACTGGTAATAAAGATACCAAAATTTCCATTAGGGAAGATATTCAAGATATCAAAAGCGAATGTAGCTCTTCACAGAGCCAAACTCAATATAAACTTTCTATTTAAAGAATAGATCCAAAAGATATTGTCAAGATATGCCATGAAACAAAAATTCCCAGAAAAGATAACTATGAAGAGTTATGTTCTTTAGTGTTATTTTTAATATTCTATCAGATTGGTATCTGGAGTTGGAAAGTGGATGAAGACTCTCCACTACTCAAAATACAACAAGATAAACTTCTATCCAGGAGCATCAGTCAACTGGGTACGAAATTGCTTTGAAATAGGAAATATACTCTGTATATATCCCAGCAAAGATCTCAAAGAAATAGCCCAACTTCCAGTTAACATCAGGCAAGTTGTTAAAAGATATACTGAAGTCGTCAAGACAACAAATATATACATCAGATTCCATTCAGCAACTATGTAATGGGATCCCGTTCTTGAATATATGCATACATCGTTCCATGTTATCAAAATGGGACTTACAAACCAATATTTTTTATCAACCAATCACAAGGTTGTTAAAAATGGATACCAAGATATTTTAAACATAATGCTCTACAGAAGAGCAAAAGGGTACAAAGAAATATTTGACCATGTAACTCAGATAATTACTGCAAAAGAAAAAAAATGGATTTATCCATCTGAAGACATATTATCTACTCTAATGCAAGGATGGCTACAAAGGAAGAAGATATTTGTTATCTCGACCATTTATTATCTGCAATTATCTCCAACCAAGTACATAGATCAGAAGATATGGCTAAAGAACTGTGCAAATTACTCTGGAACTACAGTGATCACCATTGTGAATACTATGTAGAAGATATGAGTCAAGCATCTCTCAATAGTGAAGAATTCCCTGCAGAATTCTTTGATTCGAAAATGGAAAAGTGATGGTGACAAAAGTGGTCATTTATCACTACTTTAATAAAGAAATTTATTAAAAAAAAACTTTGGCTACTAAAAGACAAAAGATGGTGCAAAAGTCTCCACAATTGTGACTACTTATCCACCAGTTGTCA